TCACCCCTGTGTCCAGGCCGAGGCGAACGGATTCAGCAAACACCGGTGATGACCCCGACCGCCGCAACCACCGCCAAGCAGATCCAAAAGGTTCCTCCTTTCGCGTTCACTTTCTCCCTTCCTTCGTCTTGATGGGGTATGCTATACTTCTAAATTATAAGATATTTTATCATTTCTAGATTCATAGTTACTATATATGTAGGAGCGTAGCAAAAACCTTGAATTTGGATATGCCAAAACGTCTTATAATTTGGAACTTGGAATGGGAGAGTAATTATTAAGAAAATTAACAGAATTGATTTAGTCTCCATGTCCGGGATATGCATGGTCACTTAATTAGTATAAGGAGTCAAAACATTTCGATAGATTATCTAGCTAGAAAATAAATAAGATTACTTTGCTACATTATAGTGGTGATGAAATTGCATAGTTTGGTCCCAAGTCAAATCACCACACAAAGGACATGACCTTTCCACACCGTACCATGGAAGAAAAAAGTGTATATATTTCCACACAGTTGCCATAAGGTTGCACTGGCGGCTAGTCAGTCAATATTTTGACTAAGTGTGGAAAACTGAGATCTCGGGATCACTTAGAATCCCTATAAAAATTCCAGAAGTAGAAATACCCTTTTTCTTCAGTCTTCAACACAGAGACGAACTCATTGGTCTTTAAACATGGCATAAACAGTGATCCCACGGACCTCCTTGCCTCTTGGCAAAAGGGCGGAGGCTGCTGCCGGTGGAGAGGCGTCCAGTGCAGCAACCAAACCGGCAATGTCCTCGAGCTTCAACTTCCGTATGGCTCTCTGGTCGGCCAGATAAGTCATTCCTTGCTCTCGCTGGATCATTTAGTCTACCTTGATCTCAGTATGAATTACCTTAACGGATCGAGCGGACATATACCGGAGTTCTTGAGCTCCTTGGTGAATTTGGTACATCTTGGCCTCTCGAACAAGTCATTCTCTGGTAGAATCCCTCCCCACCTTGGTAACCTCTCAAAGCTGCAGTATCTTGACCTCTCTGCCAACTACCTTTCTGGACATGTGCCATCTGAGATTGGTATGCTTGCTGATTTGAATTTTCTAGACCTGAGTTTCAATGAATTGAGTGGTGATATCACAGAAAAACACTTTGCGGGATTAGCAAAATTGAAGTACCTAAACTTATATGGAAATTCTTTGAACTTTACAGTTTCCTCCGAATGGTTCCCTCCGTTTAGTTTAGAAGTAGCACATCTAGTACATTGCCAAATAGGTCCTCTGTTTCCTGCTTGGCTTCGATCTCAGGTGGATCTTGTTTGGGTAGATATCTCAAGCACAGGTATAACTGATAAGTTCCCGGACTGGTTTAGCACTACATTCTCAAAGGCCACCTATTTGGACATCTCCCAGAATCAAATCCATGGTACATTGCCAAAAAACATGGAATTTATGTCCTTGAAGTGGTTCTATCTCAGTTCAAATAATTATACTGGTGACATCCCTTCGTTACCAAGAAATATTAGCATGTTGGACCTCTCTCTAAACTTTTTATCTGGAAACCTACCAACAAAGTTCAGAACTCGGCAACTAGTATCTCTAAATTTGTTCTCGAATCACATCACTGGTGGTCTTTCCGAATTGATTTGTGAAGCGCAAGGGTTATCTGAACTGTATTTAGGTAACAATCTTTTTGAGGGCGAGCTTCCTCGATGTTTTAATGCTACAACCCTCAGGTTTCTACTATTAGGCAATAATAGTTTCTCAGGTGATTTCCCAGTGTTCCTTCAAACCAGCAAGCGATTAGAGTTCATAGACTTATCACGAAATAAGTTCTCTGGAAATTTACCACACTGGATTGGAGGGTTGGTATGACGGCGGGCTTTGCTTCGAAGGAAGTACGGAGGAGATCTAGGAGCGTGAGAGCGTCAAGTAGGGTTCGGCGGATGGAGCCGTGATTGCGGCGCGGCAAGAGATGACGGTGAACAGTAGATGACGATGAACAGTAGAGACACCGGGCGCCCAAGGGTGACTTGAAGTCACAATCTCAGGCTAATCGTTTCCTTAATGAAGTTGGACTCTTATAGTCCTTACAACTCGACCCTTGACGCTAACTAACTCTTGCTATAAATCTGGACCAAATCTTCTAATACTCTAACCCAAATCTGCTAGGACTCTAGATGGGCCTGAATACAACACGGTTCAGGCCCTTCTGTTGTTGCGCCTTGCATAAGTCTTTCCCACCATAACATCTCTCCCTCCCTCGGGAAACAGCTCGTCCGCGGGCTGGAAGGAAGGGTGAGCTTCCCGGAATGCAGGAACCGGCTCCCACGTAGCCTCAGACGCAGGCATGCCAGACCACTCGACGAGGACATGCCAGACGCCACGACGAAGTTCAGAGCGCAATATGCGTTCTGGTCACTGGAGAGGCCGGCCGTGGCGAAGTGGAGGAAGCACAGGCTCAGACACCGGCAGTGTACCACGGAATGGCTTTAACACCCCGACATGGAAGACGTCGTGAATCCGGGCGCCCTTCGGAAGACGAAGCCGGTAGGCCACCTCGCCCACCCGCTCAATCACCTGGAAAGGGCCAGCATACTTGGGCCCCAGCTTGCCGCGACCGCCAGGGGCTAGGGACTGTGTGTGTCGATGAAGCATGCGGAGCAGTACCCAGTCCCCGACGGCAAACTCCAGGGCACGGTGCTTGGCATCGTAGAAGCGGCGAGCGTACTCCTACGCCTGGAGAAGGCGAGCGCGTACCTCGTCCAAGAACTCATCCCGGTTGGATAGCAGGTGTCGACGGCCTCCGTGCGCGCCTCCCCTGGAACATACGGCAGCAGGTCGGGCGGAGGACGTCCGTAGACCACCTGAAACGGAGTAGTCTGAAGCGCCGTGTGATATGCGGTGTTGTAACAGAATTCCGCCCACGGCAGCCAGTCCAGCCAGTCGCGAGGGCGGTCACCAGTGAGACATCTCAAGTACATGGTTATGGCCTTGTTCACCGCTTCGGACTGCCCGTCTGTCTGTGGGTGGAACGCAGTGCTCATCCGAAGCTGGACGCCGGCGTGGCGAAAGAGATCGCGCCACACATGCCCCGTGAAGACCGGGTCGCGATCGCTGACGATGGACTCGGGAAATCCATGGAGGCGCACGATGTCCTGGAAGAAAGCTCGCGCCACTGACGACGCCGTGTAGGGGTGGCCCAATGGAATGAAGTGCGCATACTTCGAAAACCTGTCAACCACGGTTAGGAGAACACTTTTACCGTGGACCTTGGGCAGCGCCTCAATGAAGTCGAGGGAGATATCTGCCCAGACTCACGAGAGCACCAGTAAGGGTTGCAGCAGTCCCGCTGGCACGTGGAGCAAGAACGCGACTTCGTTGCACCGTGACATCGGACACAAAAATATGTGAAGGACCCTTCTATTGACGAAGATGCTTATGGAGTCTATGAAACGTTGAACCGTGACATCGGACAGCACTTCTCTGCTGTCACCAAGGGGCAAGAACTGTATTACGATGTCAGAATTTTTGAATTGATGAGCATTGACTTATCATTCAACCACTTATCTGGTGGAATTCTAGAAGAAATAGCTTCTTTTGATGCACTATTCAACTTGAATCTCTCAAGAAACTGTTTAAGTGAAGAAATTCCAGACAAGATTGGGGCCATGAAGTCACTTTTCTAACTGGACCTCTAAAACAACCTGCTTTCTGGGGAAATCCCTTGGAGCTTATCAGATCTATCAGGATTGAGCTATTTGGACTTATCTAATAACAATTTAACGGGCCCGTACCATCAGGACAGCAACTTGACACCCTCTACGCAGAGTACCCATCTATGTACAGTGTCAACAGTGGTCTATGTGGGCCTACTCTTCGAAAGATCTGTTCAGGAAACAATTCATCAAGTCAACTTGTTCATGAACATGGTTTTGAGCCAATGTCATTTTATTTTGGACTTGGTTTTGTTAGTTGATCTCCACCAATAGGGGCCCTTGGATCTGCGCCCTGATCGGGAGCGCCCAACCCTAATATGGTTGGTGGGCCCTTGTCGCACAGCACTGTAAAAGGAGAGGTGGGGATCAAGGCTCTAATGACGAGGTTGACCTGAGCCGCCGTAACCACTAACAGAAAAACACTAATCCGATCTAAAGAAGGGTGTTGCCAGCGACGGGAAGCCCTACCGACTTCGCCGTCGCCTCTGCAGTGCCACCACCGGGACGCTGTACCTCGCGTCGCCGTAGGGACTGTGACTGCACTTCATCTCCGATCGCTGGGGACGCACTAGCTACCAAGGTACACCAACAGATGTTTGTTTCACCCACTAGATCTACGCCTAGAGTTTAGAACTTCTTAACAGGTTTGGGATTTATGTTGGGCCTTTGGCTTGTGTTTTGCGTCCTGTTGTTCAAGAAAGCATGGAGGGTTGCTTATTCCTGCCTCATTGACAAGATGTACGATCAGATGTATGTGCTTGTGGTTGTTCCATGGAAAAGCTTGGCAAGGAAGGGATCTACTGCTGAAGTATAAGAAATTGAAATTCAAGCATTATTGAGCGGTTGAAACTTGAGCTTTAGTAGACATTGGACTGAAAAGGCATATAGCAGCATCTTACGTTCTATTTTTGTTGTTGTACTGAAGTTAATGTAGAGTGTGTGTATAGTTTGTGAGCCCAGAGAATTGATAGACCACTATATATGTTGTGAAAGTTGCATGAAAGTGAACTCTGTCATGTGATAAAGGTAAACTTTACTATATAATGATGAAAATTTTATGTCGGGTTCAACCGTTTCGGGCGTCGAGTGAAAGTCGCTAAATTTATTAATGTAAGCTATCACAATCGTTTATTAATGTAAGCTATCACAATCGAGCTGCTTAACCAATTCACTTTCTTCTTACATTTTGGCATATGACATAGAACCCACATGCCTTTAACCCATAAAATTGTGATAACCAATATGTACACACTTTCGAGGAATCACAATGCCCAGGATCATAGCCACTTGTGGTAATACAGTCATGGTGCAGTTCTCCCCTCCTTGGCATCCTTGTACATCTGGTCGATGCGATCCTACAACAAATTTGTTTTTTGATGAATAAAAATACAAGCATTGCAGCTTTCCTTAAGAAATCGCCACAACATTGTAAAACTTTTGTGCGATTTAGATGATTCCCTCAAACCTTGTAATATTTGAGCAGCTGGGGTCTCTTGAGCTTAAAGGTTGGAGTTATGAGGTCCTTCTCGATGCTGAAAGGCACTGGCTCCAGGTAAATTGCTTTCAGCATCTCAAAGCCTCTCAACTGTATTCACAACACAAGATTGATATTTTATTGTTATTCTGAATAATTGTGTAGGAACCACGAAAAATAAATTACTGCAATTAATCACTTGCTAGCTCTGCCTTGTAGATCGAGCACCGACTTACCCCAAGTTTCTTGCCAGTTTGGTTCAGCTGATCCTGAATGTAACTCCTTGCTTTGGGATCAATGCACAGCTCTGCGAAATCGCCGGCCTTGTTGTTGGGTGCTGCCCATTCCTCGAGAGCTTGCGTCTCAGGGACAACCACGGCAACAAGGAATGACTCAAAGCTGTTCCCATAGACCCAGACCTGGTTCAGAGGAGCCTAGGTAAGTTAAATCTGAGCATGAAAGTAGTTCGGTTTAGGATTTTGTTGGTATTAGTCAGTGTACCGATGCCACAAGGGGGGACTGCATGTATGCTCTTTCCAGGACCTCAACTGCTACATACTCTCCCTGGGACAGCTTGAAGATATTCTTCTTTCTATCAATGATCTTCATTGTGCCATTGGGTTGCCACTCCCCAATATCACCTGCACACAAGTTTCACAAATCAATCATCTTCACTAAATGATCGTTCAGTTAGCTGCAAAACAAGTGAGAAGTATTCTTGTCACCTGTATGGAACCAGCCATCTGAGAACACTTCTTCAGTGAGGCCAGGGCGCTTGTAGTACCCAGAGAACATGGTGTGGCCCCTCAAGCAGATCTCACCCCGGGGCATGTCTGACAGTGCATCGTAGCCCATTTCAGGGACAGACTCCAGTCGTGCTTCGATTGTTGTGACAGGAGGGCCAACTGTACCAATCATTGAGAAAACATTGGCGATTGATGTGAAGCATCCTGCACAACTCTCAGTGAGCCCTGCATATCAATATGATAAGTCAGACCACATGGTTTGCAGGACCAGAATGTAAGTAGACTACTAGAGTTCTGTTAAGTGGTTTAAGAAACCCAACTAGTTTCAGCAGATGAACTATTGGTGTGCACTTTTATCCATAAAACTGAAGTGAGACATGGTAAGATGCGTCTGAAGTTCTTACCATATCCTTGTACTACAATGCTGCAGCTGGTTACCCGCATGAACTCTTCGATTTGCCCTGGCAAAGGTGCTGCTCCTGCTATCATGAGGCGTATACGCCCTCCAAGCCCTTCCTTTATCTGTACCGACAATAATATAAATGTTCAGAGCTTTGTAGAAAAGAAAAAATATAAAGAGATCCAACACTGTACACACTTTGCTGAAAACTATCTTGTCGAAAAATGGTGATGCTTCATGCTGCTTCAGCCCTTTCCTCATATTGGCAAGTTTGCTGTTGGCAAATGGACAATTATTTTATTATATTTGAAATGTAAGCATGCATGTAATTATGCTTCTTTTCTTATTCAATCTTGTAGTACTACTTACTAGTTGTAGGCATACTGAAAAAGGTGTTTGGCTATCATCCCTCCAGACTGAATTTTCATGTTTATACCTTCAATTAATGAGATCCACACATTATGACTAAGCATGGAATCATGATGGAATTGAGAATAATAAATTTATTCTGGGCTGCATTAAACCTGTATATATACGATCATAAACACGAGGAACACCACAAAATATTGTCGGTTTCATCACTTGTACATCCTCCATTAGATACCTAATGTCCTGTAAAAAAAAGTTTTACACCTCAGTAGGCATAACAGAACAGCCACCACAGTATTTAGAAGAAAATCAAAGAATTCTTTGAATTGCAACAGTTATTAGTTCGTACCCCTTGCCAGAATCCGATGGAGGCTCCTTTAGAAATACAGTAGTTCTCAATTACTTGATCAAATATATGTGCTAATGGAAGATAGGAAAAATAGGAATCCTCTTCTGTGAACTGCATGAGTATTAATATCACTAGTGTCACATTACTTTAACTAAAGAAATCAACTGATGAAGAAACCATATGATGAATTTTACAGTAGATGTTGATCACAGATGCCTTTGATGCCACAGATCTAATAGGCTGGAATCGTTCTTGATATTTATGATATAAAAGATAGTTAGAACTTACCACTTTATCTGTCTCTTTGAGGAGGTGTTCTGTGGTCATAATACCAGCAATGATAGCCCTGTTTGTGATTATCACACCTTTGGGATCTCCAGTTGTTCCGCTGGTATACATGATCGTACAAATATCTTCCTTACATTTATTAGGAAGTTTGTAGTCTTGTTTTCCCTATTCAGAACATTCCGACATTGTCATGGACTCATGGTATTCATAATGAACTAGTAGTCATTTGGGCACCCAAGAGCTGTAACAAGAAATCAGACTAACCATTGAAGAAAATTCTTCCCAAGAAAAGCAAGACACACCAAATTTCTTAGCTTCAGTTTTCATCTCACTTGTAAAATCTCCGAAACTAACAATGGCTGAAGATGCACCAAGTCATAAATGATCATATAAAGCAGCAGATAGTCATCTTAATAAGAAATCTTGTGTTCCGGAAGCTAACCTCTAAGATGGGCTGTGCACTTAGGGACTACTGCTAGTATCTGAAAAATACAATTCAACGAGTTGTCAGATGTAAACAGAATGTTATGTGTAGCATTGATCTCCAAAACTAATTTCAAATAAATAGCATTGATTTTAGCAGGTTCAGGCCCAGTTCTGTTGTAACTTGGATCCCAAGCACATGTAGCTTTTACTGGAAACATATTAATCAGTATGATGCAGAGACCACAGTGAAGAGCGTAATAATATTATTCAAAGGGGGCAAATGTTTTTGCTTACAGATTTGATCTTGCTCTCCTGGACAAATGCAATGGATATCTCAGCATGGTCCATGATGAATTCAACAGCATTTGCTCCTGCATCGTGTTACAACTTAATCGTCAATAAAACAATAGGATTTGATAACTACAGAATGAAGGACAAAATAAGCACACTATTGTGAGTTACTCATTAATTGTAATTTTTTCCAATATTTTTTCTAGTCTAAGATAAGATTGCTCATAAACACATGTTAACCATGTGCACAAATCTGAGTATTCAGTGCACTCAGACATTCAGGCATTTATGTGTTTCAGTCAGTGTGATGAAGTGGAGAACCTACCGAGGGTGTCATATAGTGGCACATAACATATTCCTTGACTGTTGCATGCCTGAAGAAAAAAAGTTTGGATCAGATTACACTAAAGAAGAATTCTGATAAAAATTGAATAAAATACAATGAAGTCACCTGCATGGCCATAACCCATTCCGGGCAGTTGGATCCATATATGCCACAGTGAGCTCCCTGCATATATGACTTGACGAATCAGTTCTTAAAATACTGGCATGCATTTTCACTTTTTCAGGATGAAGATGAAATCTCAACATAGACATCGACATCAAACAAGACATTCTTCGCTCACCGGCTCTACGCCCAAGCTTCTGATGGCTGATCCAATCCTCATGACCTTCTGGTACACTTCCTCGTACGTTTGCCACACATACTCACCGGCCTATATATAAGAAAGACAATTCAGTTGAATATCCGAAAGCCATGGCGATATCTTTGTGAAAATAAATCTGTAAAGATTCGGTTTTATTTTACCTTGCCATCTGTAACTTGCCGTCGGCCGAGCATCCTGTTCGTGGGGTACTTCTTGACTGCTCCACTACGAAATCACAAAACCAAAAACAAACTGAAATTTCGAATTGACATTATCTGAAAAGTCCAGGACCTTGTAATAATGCTATAATGTACCACCCAAAGATTGACATCAAGCTAAACATACTAGTAGAATATGTACTCCGTAGTAGTGAAAGCTGAGAAAGGAAAACACATTGCGAAAACAGAGGGCACTATGCTAGCAGGTGGTAGCCTGCCAGGAAACCGAACCGAACCTGAAGAAGTCCCAGGGGGACTGGATGTCCTGCGGGAGCTCCATGAGGCCGTCCTTGGCGTAGATGCTCCGGTAGACGGGCCCGGCCGACGGCCTGCGGCCGGTGGCCGGCGTCGCCTCCCCGACCTTCACGGTGAACGTCTCCGGCAAGGACATCCTTCCTCTCCTCAGCAGTCTGCACCGATGGGAATGAATGGGATTTGGGCACAGTGAGTGCAGTGTGGATGGATCTTTGAGCTTGCAGTTGCAGGCGGTGGACATGGGAGGGCAGTTATGGTGGTGAGAAGGTTGGTGTGCAATTTAAAGCTTGTGTTACTGCTATGCCGGTGCAGTGTGCTAACCTCATCAGTGTGACTGTAGCAGTCTTGTATTGTACGTACATGTAGGTGGCATGAGTGACTGACAGTGTGTTGTGTTGTCCTGATACTACTGCTTACAGTAATAATTCGGTGAAAATCTGACGTGTTTTACCGACAAATTATGTTTAAAGAAACACGAGGTATGTCCTTGCCAGGTCAGCGCTACATCTGGCATGGCACGCAATTGCTCTCCAGAAGCAGGGAGGGCGGTGGTGGTTAGACGGACGCGAAATGGCGGCAATTAAAGGCGCGAGGCTCACGGCGTGAAACAAATTATGACGTCAGAAGATATGTCGCCAACAGCTTTGGGCAGCATTCATGCCCGCGATTTAATAACCATTGCAGGAAAATTCAATTCCTATGCCGTCGTAGGCATGTTCGTTTCTCTTATAATCCGTACTTTTTAGCTTTTTTTTTCAGCTGGAACAGTATTTTTCTCTTACAACAAATCAGTCGGAATAGTGTTTCGGCTTATTTTTTTAGTGAAGCGAATGGGGCCATATTGTCGGCTCTTGAAGTTCTTTATTTTTTTTAATATAAACAGTGCTCCTGATCCTGAATTCCTGATGATGATACTCGTGCTCTCGTCGTTAAGATGATCTTGATTCTTGAGCGTTTGAGCTTTTGATTCGCTGCTACAGAGACCGCTGCACTGCCCTGCCATTCTCTGTTGGGCCCTAATGTGCCAATGCAGGCCCATTATTCTCCATGGTTGGCTCTCTACTAGAGATCTCTTCCCCCTCCACTGCCACCACCTGTGCCCTCCTTTCTTCACTGTCAGGTAGATCCCACGTGTCTTCTTTTCGTCCTCGTTCTATGCCATTGGTCGCCACTAGGTTAGGGTCTGTAGGGGTTGTTGAGATCTTTGCAGCTCTCTAGGTATAAATAAAGGAGATGGGCGGGGTTGTCGTTACAATCGACGGGTCAAGATGAGGCAACAGAGTGTCGTCGGTTGGGTGCTAGAGGATACCATTGCACATGGTCGATAATGGGGGCAAGCTTCAACCTGTTTACGACAGGAATAGGGTATAACTGAATATGGTGGCAGTGGAGGACAACGGCTGCGCAAGTGGTGGCAGTGGCCCAGTAGGAGGCTGCGACAATGGTGATTGAGCTGAAAATGGCCATGGCAGTTCGTTGGGAGGGTGGAGATTAAAGACGATCAGGGTGGGTAGAAGAAGGGTAACCTCCACAGCTCAACCTACGTGGAGCATAACACGATCCCTTTCTCCTTCCTTAAGTTTACATATGCTTGTTAGCTTGTCAAGGATAAGTGGAAAAAGTCAACCTATCAATAATCACGGAATGCAGATGATGTTGCTGCCGCTACTGGCCTCCTATGGCCTAGGTGTGGGGTCTTTAGTTTTTTATAAACTTTGGTTTCTGAAATCGACAAGTGAACAAAGCAAATGTTTTGTGAAAACCAAAAAGTCTCATATAATGTTTTTTATTTGGTTTGTAATTCATGGATTTCATCCCAAGTTTGAGGAGCCTATAGAAGTAGCATTGACGCCGAATTTTGGCATACACATTCTCAATAACCTTCTCAGGTTTCCACGCGTATTGAGCCATGTCTAGTGGAGGCTCTTATTATTGGTCAGTGTTTCCATTTGGTGATCCAGATTGAACAACCTTGCAGGAGCTTGCCTTTGCCTCCCTTTACGCCAAAACCGGCCACCATATCCTCTTACCTACTCGCTCGACTCAAGTTGACTAGGGATCAATCACACTAGACAATTTAAAAACCTTCAAAGAACAACACTTAGGCAAAGTGATTTGTGTAACAAGAGAACATAAATCCACTACTTTGCCTAGACTAAGCACTTCAAAGCAAGCCCCCCTAATCAAATTTGCTAGTAGCAAGCATCCTAATCAACTAGATCACACACACAAGCTACTGAGGCAAGGTAACTAGTTAGTCGAGCTACACAAGTAAAGCAACTAACCGACTTATGCTACTCTACTACTAGATCTACAACAACAAGCAACTAGCTAAACAAGCTTAAGTACAATAATGTAAAGCACAAGTGTAGTGAAGCAAACAACTGAGGGCAAGAGACACAATGATTTAGCCTGACGTTTGATTACTTGCCGGCAACCTACGCCCCCGTTGAGGCGAGTCTTTGGACTACCACTCCTCCACAAGTCTAGCAAGCCCTCAAGCTTGGCCCCGACATAGTGTAACACCTCTGGTATTACGAGCTCGCTAAGCACAGAGTTTTGGGCCTAAGAAAAATTACTGAAACAAGTTCCTCGGTTTTTAAGATTTAAACTCACACGAAATGATGAACATCTCTTATGTGATTTACCTTCCAGTTGAGAGGAATCAAATAAATACCTAAGTAATTCTTTTAGTGCGTAAAACTGTTAGTGAAAATCCTAATAAGAAAGATATGATACGTAGTTGTAATTGTTGGGCATGAAAAACTATTTTTATAAACAAAAATGGAATATCACTTGTATGTAGCGCTTAAATAAAGTTTAGAGTGCAAGTGAAGTAGGTGGAAATGTAATATTCATTTTGGGAGAATAAATACTATTAGTTAGTATTTTGGGAGTTTAGAAATCAAACTTGGAATTAAGGAGGGTCATTTTCGTTATTAACTAATACTTGAGTTTATGTTAAAAGTATCATTCTTTGGCGATGTAGCACCTGGTTTTAAGAACAAAACCAGATACACACCATATGTGAGACCAGAAAGTCAAATCTCACATATAGCTACAAATAAGGGTAATATCGAAAGACAATGCTCAATATATAACGTACTTAGTATAAAGAATATAACCTTAGATAGCAAACAGCGCAAAGACAACTCCGATCTTCGGGTGAAGACTCCAATTCCACAGGGACAACTGACTGGTTGATCACAAGCCTAATTCCTCAAAACTAGCAATCTGGTACCCATCCGGGATTTTTATCTAAATATGTAAAAAATAAAGCAAACATAAGTACATGTCGTACTCAATAAATATAACATGGGGTTCATGAGGCTCAAAAGACTTACACTGGTTTAACTGCGATTAGCTTTTAATTGTCATAATTTTATCAAAGGAGTTGCAACAAGTTTATGACAAGCCCATATAAACACATGATCAGGTAAACATGAATAATGAATAGCATAAATAATTAATCATTAGTGAGCATCTTTATCATCAGTATCATTAGTGTTCATCATCTATTCCGTAAATGTTCCAAGGTTGCTCGTGACCGTGAGCACGACTGATATACTAGTTTTACACTCTGCAGAGGTTGTACACTTTTACTGTGAGTCATGATTTACCCTTTCGCCCGAGGCAGCCAACCTCTTGACCCACTACCAAGGAAGGTCAGCAGGGTTCACTATGAAACCTTTCAAAGGTTCGTCTAACAAGTTAGAGTCATTAGATTCACTCGGCAAACAGATATAGAGTCCCCCTTCCCGATGGCACAATGACGCGTAGCCTATACTCAAGGGGACAGAGGCTGCACTATACCCGATTCGACAAGCCATTCTTACGCCAATAAAGGTAACCACTAACAAGCTAGAAAAGGTACTCATACTGAGCTAAAGCTAGAGCCATATAGCCCTCATAGTTATACTATAAGTCCCGGATAAATCACTTACAGATAAGTCCTTAGAGAGAGGAATCTAGAGCACCATAAAAATAGCCCAATGCTCTAGCCCCCTTGTTCCATGTTGCTAAAAAGCATATTTTAGTGTTTATTGCATATACCATTAGTCAAGTTACAAGATCATGGTCTTTAATTGAGCACTAACATCATACTATCCAATGCAATACCCCATAAGTAACAAGGTACAAGGTAACAAAGTACTAGGAAATCCTTAGTGGTGGTCAAGGTAGACACATGCAGTATGAATTAAATGATTAAAGGTGTATAGGACAACAAGGAAGATCCCATGCTATACTTGCCTTAAACTTAGATCCTTCTTCAAGTCCAAAACTTCAAAGATATGCTTCTTGATTCACCACTGAAAGGATCAAGATGCCCAAGAGGGCGTGGGGGTGAATTGTGCTAATTCTAAAATTCTTTGCAATAATTAAACCCTACGGTTAGCCCACTTCACCCCTTGTGCCTAGAAAGTGTTTCTATTGTTCTACCGCATAAAAGTTTAGCAACCTATGTTCCAATCCTACTCTAGCATGGCAATTCTATGAATGTAAAGACAAGTATTAAATTGCTCAAAGTAAATGCTTAAAGTAAAGAGAGAAGGAGGAATGCGGTGATGTTTTGCCAGGGTATCGGAGAGTCACCACTCCCCACTAGTCCTTGTTGGAGCACCCGCGCAAGGGTGTAGCTCCCCCTTGATCCGCGCAAGGATCAAGTGCTCTCTACGGGTTGATTCTTCGATACTCCGTCACGGTGAATCACCCACAACCGCTCACAACTTGAGTTGGGTCATCCACAAGTTTCGTCGGATGATCACTAAGCTCCCAATCACCATCAAGCCATCTAGGTGGTGGCGATCACCAAGAGTAACAAGCACAAACTCTCACTTGACCACGACAAGCCTAATGAGAAGGGTGGATGCACACTTTGCTACTCTTGCTTTCACTAATGAGGTCTCTCTCTTGGATTCTCAAATCACAATCACCTCACTACGACCTTGCTCTTCTTGGCACTCTCAAGGGTGTTTCTCAGCTGTTGGAATGAGCAAAAGTGATCCCTCACATGAATAGAGGAAGTATTTATACACCCTTGTTCAAAACGAACCGTTATGTGCCACTGCGGGGTGACCGGATGCTCCGGTCAAGGTGACCGGACGCTCCGGTCAGTTCACCCGCCACTGAGCAGTT